ATTAATCTTCTTTTGAGTTAGCAACAAATACTAGCCACACCCCATGCACAACACAAGGAAACAGAAGCTCAAAGAGGTTACATAATGTTCTTCGACTCCTATGGAGAGAGATTAAGGTTCGACCCCAGGCAGGCGGTCTAATCCCAGATCTGTCCAAGACGGGGGGCGGTGATGGTACCGGGCCCCAGTGATGAGATAACTAAGTCGAACTATTTTGCAAATAAGGCGTGAGTCAGCTTTTACTTTTGCCAATTACTAATTACATACGGAGAAAGATGGAGGCTGTCCCAGACATGCAGGAGCTGGCCTGGCACTCAGCGCTAGCGAGGCCTTGGTATCCTCCTGTTGAAAGTAATTTCCTACAATATCAACATCAGAAGATGTTACTCTGTGACTGTGATGGATCATGACAGAAATAAGACCACCCTAATATACTTGAATAAAGAAAAATACATAAATCTTGTCTTAAGCACAAGAGTGACCGGACACCCCCAACTTCTGGGTAATATGAGTGACTGCTGCTCCTTTATCGATTACAGCTTTACTCTCCGGTCTTCCCCCTCCTTTCGGACATGATTGATTAAGACACCTAATCACAATTACCACTGCCGGTAGCATCCAACCCAGAGCAGGAGCCTTGTTGCCACCCCCGACACACAGTCACCTGACACAAGGCCAACTCCTATCAGTCCTTTCTTATTATCGTGGCCATGTCATCTTCTTACTAAGGTGGCCCACGCTGTGGCTAAAGCATCTGGGATTCATTTTCCAAGCAATGGGAAATAATTGAGGTTTTTAGAGCAGGGTTGTGGCATGACCCAAGTTGTGCTTTAGAAAACGAAATCTGACAAAACATGTAAGACAATCAAGAGAACTGGAGACTCTGGGCAAAGCCAGTAATGAAGCCATTCCAGGAGTCCGGGGGATGACAAGGAGACAGAAGCCACCATACGAGTGGCTGTGACAAATACCTACGCGAAGGTGGTGGCAGTGGGAATGGACATGCATGAGGATGTCTGCAGGAAGGACTGACAGTGTGTGGAAATTTTGATACGGTCTCAACCATCGACATGATTTAACGTTCAGTAGGCGGAGACTCAGACCAGATTTCTCATAAAATGTTCAGTCTCGTACTGAACAACATAGATAGGGGATTTTCGTATCTATAAATTCACTTCATTAGCATAGGGTAGAAAGTTATGAATAGGATGACTTTCGCTTCACCTTGCTTGGATTATAAAACGTAAGGTTGGATTTAAGCCTAGCGTATGGATAAGGGATCCATTTAGCCCTTAAGTGTCTTTTGGAAGCTCCCATGAAGGGCATTAGAAGTTTTGTGAGCATATTAGAAGGCAAACTTGAAGCCTAAGCGTGCATATTCAGCAGACCGACCTAGATCCGCAGCTCTAAGAAACTAAAACAGATGAAGACAGGCCTCGGAGGGGCTCATCGCACTATTATTCAGACGGAAGTAAAAGAGACGCACGGCTCCCGCGGCGGAAACGCAGAACGCTTCCCAACGTTGCGATCCACAGGCTGAGCGTGGGGCGGGCTCGACAGTGTGGGAATAGGAAGGTCCTGGGTTGAAACGAGCTTGGTTCTAAGAGCTTTTCGGAGCGGGCTTTCAGGAACTGAGCCGCTTCTCCACCCAAGATATTGGAAGCGGCACCAGGGCATAGAGCTCAGGCAGGGGAGGTCCGGCGCGAGTCAGGGACTAAGCCAGCGTTGGACCTGGAAGAAGGTGTTATTTACTCATAATACATGATGAAAATCAGAGGAGCAGACAGAGTTCCTCAGTTTTTCCTTTGCTGGACAAAATTTAGATCTGGGTCGGCAGAAACAGAGTCAACTTTGCTCAAATCTTCCTCTCCGAACTGACCTGTCCCCTAGTCTTCCCCACATGTCCCTCATGGCACCACGGTACTTGTCACCCCCCATCCGGGGCAGGTATTCTCTGACCTTCAAAAATCATGTTTCCAAACTGCCTATTTTCTCTAACCCTTCAAATCTCTAGACCAAGATATTTCTGGATTGCTTACAGTTTCCGCGACTTTGGGCAATTTGTATTTGCCAAAATGCAAATTGGGCAAATAAGGATGCTACCGCCATGACAGGGCTGATCTGAAAAATCAATGAAAAAAAAAAAGTACATAATATGCAGAACAGTCCTGACATGCCACAGCTTCTCAATAATATAGCAGCCTATTATTACTTTGGCTATTTAATTTAAAAGAGCCAAACTCTTTGTATTTTTTTTAAAAACTATACAAGTATAAATGGTTATTAGATATGAATTGACATTTTAAATGTTTAAAAGATACCCAACTCTTATTGTTCCAGCAAATCCTTGAGAGGATGTTGTTTTTCCTCATATCCAGAGACATCCCACCCAAGCCCCCACCATTGGTTAAGTAGGCTCAAAATTTAAATCTGTCTACATTCATCAGAAAGACACGATTAGAAAGAAGACTATAACCCTTAAATTACCTAAATATCAACATCTTCTCTCTGATATATTAAAAAAAAAAAACCCACAAGAAAAGGTTTATTAACGGATACTTCGAATCCTCAAAAATATCAATAATATTGATTAATAGAAAAGGCCATCCTGAAAAGTATCACGATTTGCCTTTTTATAAGTAGTAAACAATTACAGAGAGTAAAAATAACAGTGAAAACTACACCAAGCTTAGTCGTCTATTTCTACCCTTTGTTCTCATGCTCAAGAATCCTAAAACTAACTCCATACTGTGAATTTCGAGTCTGTCCCCAGCCAAAGTAACAGACTTAATGCACCATTAATCTGGTCTGCTCTCAGCCACCAATTGAAATAGTCACAGTCATTCGACTTTTAAGGAAAAGACAGCACTGCAGAAGTACGTTCCAGAGGTCTTTTCATAAGAACCGTCCCGTGTGCTCCATCTGTACGTACAATCTGCTGGGGTATTTTCAGCCAGCTTGCCTGGGCAGATGAATGCGTACAATTAGAAAGCAACCTCACAGGCATTCAATAAACTGCCTTCGTGATTACACTCAGGAGAGTCCCTTTGGATGTCAATAAAAGCCTAGTTTTCTGCCTGTTAGCTAAATAATTGACAACAACTAAAAATAATCAGAAGCGAATGAACGAAGTCAGAGACGAGGTGTTAAGAAAGAGCACATTAAGATTCTAGCGGAGGTGCCCCAGGATGCTATCGCCAGCTATTCCTCTAGCAACTGGGATTTATAATCTGCTCAAGTCCATGGTTACCCTTCTGTACAGAAAAAAATAAAAAATAAAAAAAAAAAATAACGCTATTCCTGATCTATTCGAACCACATATAACGGCATGCTGAAACTGACAAGGACACGAGGTTTTGGCTCGTTTGAAAGAATTTCTTACTTGCGTTTATATTTTGTGCTTCCTGGTTTGACAGCTTCAGGAGAATCTAATCTGGGGAGGTGGAGGTGGGGCGGGGCTGAGGTTAGGGGAGGGAGATGGGTAACAGCCTTTTTGGTCTGGTGAAATCTTTGCGCTATTAAAATTCTAACGGCTCTCCCAGATAATTTTTTTTCCCTATTAACTGACTCGGAGAAGGTATGGTAAAGTTATACGGAGAGCCCATCTTTCCTAAAATGTCCTTTTCATATTTCTAGCTATACAATGCTCATTCATTTCAGAAGCTATTGACCTTTTAATTTCAAAAGTAGTTCAAAAAATACTTTTTAGAAGAAACTCGCATAGATACTTCTTGTGTTTCTCAATAGGCTTTAAAAATCAATTTCAGATACTTCTCATTTTTAGCCACCTTCTCTTTTTTTCTGGTAAACTGGGACTTTCACGATAAGCAGAAGAAAGACCGAGAGTGAAATGTGCGTGTAATTGAATTCGGCGCCACTGATGATGGCTGAAGCGAAAACTTTTTTTTTTTTCCCTGTCAGAAAAGGGATGATTGATCTCTAGCATTAAGTAAAACACAAGTCGGAGAAGCCCAAAGACAATGAAAGAAAGGTTGGGTGACATAACCTCCCAACGTCTTTTAAAACTTCAAGGATCTCTTACCCTTCACCTTAACACATTTAAAACTTTCCAGAAAATGGACTCTTTCGACCTGCCAGTCGTACACCTACAACTCCTCATCGGTAAGCAGATCTTCCCTTTCCCAGAGTAAAACTAGGATGCCATGGGGTGAATACACTGGTCCTTATCGTAGCTCTAGGTGACGATCGCCCTCATTGCCTAGAAATAAACTCTCATCCACTCTCCACCCATGGAAGTGGGTAGTGTCAACATTTCATTAACACCCGAATCTAGTGCCTCCCTCCCGCCATCTGTCTCTCTGACACAGAATTTCTCCTGGTGTTTAGCTTCCTACCAGGTCCCTCGCCCCTTATGCCTGCCTTGGAAGAAGAATGGGAAAGACAGGGTATGGATTCGATGACTCACATGCGGGTAATGCCTAGTTTATTTTCATTCATCCATTTATTTATTTATTTATTTATTTATTTATTTATTTATTTATTCTAAATTTGAAAATCAAGCCAAATGAAGTATTAAGCCATCTCAACACCCAAATAC